GGGCATCTGTGTGTCTGTGTGCCGGCCCCACTGGCACATCTGTCTTGGCAACTCCCCAGCCCAGACTCAGCCTTTCAGAGCACCGCTCCCCTCCCAAGGTCAGAGCTCTGACCCTGACCTCCTCCCTCCCAGCTTTCCTGGGAATCTGGGCCTGCCTTGTCTCCTTTCCAGGAGACAGAGGACGCCCAGTTTGACAAGCTAGGGAAGGGGACTCTGTTGGTTACGCCAACCTCCCTGTTCTCTGCCCTGCCCTACCCACGCCTAGTCTTAAAAGCAGAAGTCGCTCCGCCACAGCTGGATTAAGGTAGAAGGTTAAGGTCTTTCCCTTTTCTTTCTCCTACAGACTGGACCTCTGCAGGGAGGGTGGGGAAAGGTCTTTTCTGCAGGCCAGTGTGTGTTAAAGGGAAATGAAGTGGGTAGGAGGGTAGAGGGGGAGCGGTTGGTGGGCTCTGGGCAAGGCCCGGTCACCTGGTAGCTGGCATTAAGTGCTCCGTAACTGAGGCCGGAGATCATATTCTTCACCAGGGTGGGGCTCCTGGAGGAGAGAGAAAGCAATGTTTGGGGTTCATTCATTTACTCCTCACCGATGCCGTGACCCTGACTAAAGGGCCTGCTCAGTGCCAGGGACTGTCCCATTCATTATCCTGAGGGGACAAGGCATGGTCAGCCACTGTCTGCTGAGCCTTATTCAATTCTCACGCTGACCTGGCACGGCGGGTACCAGCAGCCCCGTCACAGGTGATGTGCCGGGGCTCAGGGGCTTGGGAACGTGTCCGGCATCTCGGAGCTGGCAAGTGCGAACAGGGACCCCTCCCAATATCTGTCTTCATGTGGTGTTGCCCCAGCACTTTTTCTCTCCAGTCTAGATTTCCCAAGGTCCAGATTTCAGCAAGGTCCAAGCTATAGCCTCGATAGTACTGTATTTGTAAAATATACACTTTCTTGCCATCCTGAATTTTGGGACATCTAATAAGCCATGTGCTCAGTCACTTTGTTCTATACCAAAAGCTTTTCTGCACTGGAAGGTGTTTGGGAGTTGGGTCTGGAAGAGCAACGGCTCAAGGTTGTCCGTCTTCCGCAGTGATTACCCCCAGTTTACAGAGCACCTAAGAGAGGTTTAGGAACTAGTCTAAGGTCACACAGCCGGTGAGAGTAATTTGAACCCAAGTCTTCTGATGATATGTTGGAAATGAGACACGGAGATACCAACTTGTTGTGACTGACATGTGGAGGCACTCAGAAGAGGGTGGCTTTCTTCCTCTTTCCAGGTCCCAGCCCTGCCCCAGCCCCTACAACTACCTGGGGGTGGAGAGGCTCTTGTCTGTGGAGAAGGAATCTTTGAGAAACATCTAACTTGCCTTAGATTTCTCTCTCTCTCTTCCTGGGCCTTGAGGCCAAGAGGCACTGGCAAAGGGGAGCCTGTGGGGCGGGTATTTGCGGTGGGGAGAAGGCCACTGGTGCTGAAGGGAATCTCAAAAAGGAGGTTTTGATCCCCCCTCAGGTTCCTCGGTTTTCACTAAACATGCCACGTGGTTAAGCAGAACGTAAAAGATGGAGGGTCAGGGACCCAGCTCTGCCACAGATCTGCTATGTGACCTCCTGCCAGGCCCCTGCCTTCTCTGGGCCTCCTCTCCCTATAAAACGAAGAGGTAGGGCCCGGGGATCTCAGAGGTTGACAGCACCATCACCAACGGCCACAATGGCTGCCATTTGCCCCTGTCCCAGCTCTGGTCATGGCTGCTTGGGGCCTCTGTCTCCTTCTCTCTCAGGTTCCCCTTGGCTCCTTCCCTCAGTGAGAAGGACAGAACAAGACATAAACATCCTTGTTCTAGTTCTGTCACTTCCAGATTTCAGTCTCCCTTGAGCTCTTCCACCCCTTTTCTCCCTGCCTCACCCCCAAAGCGGGAAAGATTTGGTGCCCCAGAGAGGCAAAGGGGTGACCTGGCCCACATGCCGGTGGGTGCACTGTGCCCAGGTCTGGGCCCACATACCCCGTCATCTTTGGCGGTCTCCGCTTCTGATACTCCCGCTCGTCCACAGTCCACACGGCACCCTTGACATTCTCCACACGCACAAAGCACTTATGCAGGCTGAGGTTGTGCCGCACGGCATTCTGGGGGAGCAGTGACAAGGGGCAGATGCTCAGAGACAGCCTGCTCAGCCTCCCCTCTTTGCTCAGATGAGCACACACAGCAAAGTCCTTGTCCTAATTTCTGCCGCCCCGGGACCAGCAGAGGAGGGGCCGGGTGAGAGGAAACCTGGCCATAAGGGGCGGAAGGCCCCTTTTCTGCTTGGAGGCAGGAACTCCCAGCACCTTCACCACTGACGGCCCATTTCATTATCTGCCTCCGCTTCTTCCTGCCACATTCTGGAAAACTCTACCAACTAGACGATATGTGTAGTTAGTAATACTTTGTTTTTCTGTCATCATTAATCAGACACATACAGCTGGTATTCATGGCTTCTGATTGGCATGAGGTCACACTCAGGCCTTGGCACCTCAGTGAGCCTGGGACATCTTATCTCAGGTGCCTACAGAATTTCCATTAAGCTTTAAAAAGTTTGGCGAATGACTTGGGCACTCTCACGGCAACCGTCCTCCACCTCTAGGAGCGCGGGGGCCGTGGCTTTGAGCTGGGCCTCAGAACAGAGAGCTTTTTTGGAGCATGAGGTATACAGTAGAGGCCTAATACATACTTGAAATAAACTGGAAGAAAGGAGACAGTGGCTTTAGTAGCTGTAAGACAGGAAGAAGAAAGAAAAGAGGAGAAGTCACCTTGTCACTCCCACCTCCTCCTGGCAGGATAACTTCAGGAATTGAGGTCATCTGGTTTGTAGGACACTTGGGTGAGGGTGGGGTACTTGGCCCAGTTCACCCCCACCCAGGAGCCTGGGAGAGGGCCCTAATATACCCCACCCTCCACGTCCCTCATCCTGTCCCTCGACTCTCCGCTTTCAGCCTCACCCCCCCAGCCGTCCCTGTCCGTTACCTGTCCTCCCCCGGCCTCCTCCTCCTTGTCCCCATCTTGTCTCCTCTTTACATTTCTAAATGGGGAAGAAAGCAGGCAGGGCGGGCAGCCTGTGCCCCTGGAGATCCCCTCTCCCTCTCTCCCTTCCAACTCTTGCCACTTGCAACTGGCCCGATTTCATTACCAATTTTAATTTGCCTCTAATTAAATCCTGTGTATTTTTCCGACTCGCTTGCTAATCCACGAGGGAGGCGGGCGGCTGGAGTGGAATCTCTTGGAGCGATAATTACAAAGGGCCTAATCACGCCGGGGCTCCTGCCTTGGAATAAATTTGCCCGCATTACGGGGCTCCGATCCTCCGCTTTGCAAATGAGAATGACCCCAATTTCCGAGGATGGCCTCACCGGGGCTTTTTTCCCTCATTTCGAAGCCTGATTCGTGATGAGAGACTAATTCGTTACGCTGAAACATTAACGGCAATTTAAGGGGTCTAGCGGGGGCTGCGTAAACAAAAGGACGGGCCCACAACACAGGCCCTGGAAGGGGATGGACACGGGAGGGATGGCGAGGACCATCGGCTTGGCAGATGGCAGCTCTGTCCCCGGATGAATGGCAGCTGGCCTGGCCCACGCCAGCTCCTGATCCTTCTGCCCTGGTCTGAAGTGGACATCATCTCAGTGTGGGGGCCAGAGGGGTGAAGAAGGAGGGAGGAAAGGAAGCTGACATAGTTGAGGAAAGACCTCAAGGGGAGATAAATGGGTAGAAAGTGGATATAGGAGGGAAATAGAGTTGGGTGTAGACAGGGTACATTTCTCAAGTAATGTGAAATGAAGCTGCGAAACTCCTGAAGGTCAAAGTGGACCTCAAGCTGCGATGGAGTCTACTGTGCCACGGGGAGGTCACAGGCAGTGAACTCAAGTGGCAAAGCAGCCACAGAACACTGCTAACTGGGAAGGTCACCCACTCAGTCATTTGGCAGGATTCCTGTTGGGACTTAGGCTAGGTGAAGAGAGATGTAGGTGAAGACCCCAGAGCGAGAGAAAAACCACTGAGATGACCAAGGCTGGGCAACCAGTAGAAGGTGGCATGGAAGGCCAAGGGCCCCTGGAGATTTAAGGCTATGGGCGGGGGGAGGTGGCTTCATGAGTCATCGAGGGATTTAAGGAAGTCACCTAAACCAGCTCCTCCTGATCGCAAGAAAAGGACAGTAAAGATTGTAGTGAGGTGGTGCAGTTAAGAGAGAACAGGAAAGGAGGGTAGGTGGGCGGGTGGCACTCTGCCCCCAAAGAGACTGTCTTATGGATATGAGGCTTTACACTGCACCCATAAAGGCAAAGGATTAATGTGGAATATTAAATATGAGGTAATAATCGTAATGATCTGTATAGGACTCTATCATTTATAATACCTGGTATCTAAACTGGCCTGGAGGGGACCAGGTGGCCCCAGGAAGGCTCTGTTGGTTCAGAGAGAGGGCAGGACTGTGGTTGGCAGGAAATGACATCACTGAGAACCAATCAGAACGGCTGTCCCAGCCTCATAGCCTCTCTCCCAAGCTTTGGGAATTGGACATGGGGATACAGCAGATAATGGAGCAGTCTCTCCTGCTGCACTTAGCACACTTCCAGAGTAGGGAAGGCTGGGCCTTGTGCAGATCCCACGCAGTCCTGGGTACTGGTGGGGAGGGGGCCTCAGTGACACTTGTTGAAATCTGCTGGGATGGCGCCTCCGAGGTAGCCTGTTTAACTACAGTTTCTAAACTGGCCAGCAGGGGGATTCAAGAGCCAGGATTCCAAATAAGGTTCTGAGCTAGGAACTCCTCAGGTGTCTAACCTTCCCCACAGAGCCCAACACTCACTTCTTCCCCGCACCTCTCCCAATTTAGATAGCGCTGTCTCATTCTGCTGCAAAGACCCTAATATTCTCACTCATAAGACAGACACACACAGGCTCACAGACATACAGATCATCTTGGCTATAGAGGAACAAATGGCTTCGCAGCTCAGCCCACATTTCCATGTCCCATTTTTCTAAGGTCCCTCCCTTGCCTGTCTCTGGTCTCCCAGGAAAACTCTCATGGGCTGAAGGTGTTTAAATGACTAATTGGATGGAGACAATTATCTTCCTGCTGTGGATGGGAGAATTGAGGACGGTGTGTGACTGCCTGTTTGTGCCCCAGTATATATACAGTCCATGGGTCCCAGACTATCCACGTGTCTGGGCCCATACACCCCTTACCCCCACCCTGGGCTTCATAACATGTGCTTTTAGCCAAGGTATCCGGACCCTTAGGGTCTCTTGTGAATGTAACTCAGGCCTCCCCACCAGGCTCAGGCATTACCGACTCTTAGGGGCCCTACTCCATGGGGCTGGAGTCTTTGGGGCCCATGGGAAGGCCCTTTAGAGAAGAGCAGGCTTTCTTCACAGGAAGAAGGCAGCGCATGACTAGAAGGGAGGGGCCATTAAGAGGCAGTTAAAGAATACTCTATGGCTCCTGCAGAGGTGGGGGTGGAGGGACACATGGCTTAGCCTGAGCTCTGGCAGGGCAGTTTCTGTAGGATCACCTCTCTGAAGGGAATAATTGCTAAGCATCCTTAGTCTCAAAGGGATATGATATCCAAAGGTGACTGGGGCACTGGGCCAGGTGGGAGGGGCGTGGCTCACCTTCCAGGTGGCAGTGTTTCTCCGGAAATAGGCGAACATCCTGGTGAACCAGTTATAGATCTCATTCAGGGTCAGCTGCCTGTCAGGGGTTTCCAGAATGGCCTATGGACAAGGAAGAAGCAAAGGGTCCCTCAGTTTGGGCCTCAAAGGGTCCCAGGCCTGTGTTCTCTCCCCCAGGATCTCTCTCTCCCCTGGCCTATACCTCATTCTGAAAGCAGGAGCGTGTGGCTAAGGACTGGCAGTGCTTTATTGGTCTTGAGAAGGGCAGGTGGGTTACAGTCCAGCCAGAGCTGAAAGGAACACAAACCTCAAGGGCTATGCCCTTGTGCAAGGAGCACATGAATTCCTCTAGAGGGAAAATGGCTCCAAGGGCCAATGCCCTAAAATGAGAATGAAAGCAGCATTCTCGAGAGAAAGATGTCTGGGGGTGGGGATGTTTGGAATTTTCCACGATTTTGGCAAAGACCCCCTTTCCTATCTATGAGATGGTGTGGGGGGTGGGGAGGAGAGGAAGAGAGGGGCAGGCTAAGAGTGAGCACCAGTATCAGAAAATAGTCTCATGGGAGTAGTGTGTGTACATGGAAATGGGAGAATGATGACAGTGGGTATGAGAGGCAAAGTGTATGTGCTCCCAGAGAAATCTTCAGGTGACCAGCTGAAGCCTCTATGAGACACCTGCAGCTGAGAAGGGAAGTGGGGAGCGGGAAGGGACAAATGTGAGAGAGAAAGTTATGTTCCCTGACTCAGAATCCTCCTGGAGGCTGGGAGCTTGAGGCAGGCGTGCAGCCTGTGTGCCATTCCCCACCCCCTCCAGCTACCTTCCATGCTCACCTGGCGGATGAGGGAGGCGTAGGTGAAGGGGGGCCTGACGTCCGCATTCTTGTAGAATTCATGATTCTGGGCCAGTTCTGGAGGAGACAAGGCGCAGATGAGGTAGCCATTTGCAGGGCCCAGCTTGGGGAAAAAAATGCCCCTCCCTTGGCCCTTACCTGAGGAGATGGGGGAGCAGAATTTGTCACTGCTCCTCCTGCGGGCGGGGCCCCCACTGTGCAGGGAGGCAGAACCCAGACCTGGAGGCCTTAGTGGGGTGACAGGGGCTGCAGCCGAGGTGGGAGGGTGCACGAGGCCATCTGGGAACGAGTCTGCTGCAGAGACGGTCACCTTGGAGAATGAGGAGGAGCCGGGGACCGGGTTCAGCTGTGAGCAATGGGGAGGATGCTGAGACCAGCTGGGGAGGTGGTGGTCTGGAGGGTTCAGGGAATTGTGGAGGGGTTGTGGCAGGGCTGCCAGGAAGAGAGAGTCACTCACCGGCTGGCTGAAGGGCTTGGGCTCAGAGGGCCTCATGTGCAGATGGGCCATCATGGCCTGCAGCCGCTCGCTCTCCTTGGCGAGCTGTGGAGAGGGTGAAGAGGCTGGTAGTGGGCAGGGGCTGTGCCTGGAGGCAGCCAGGTCTTCTTCCTCCTCCATATCCCACCAGACACCCTAGAAAGCTACTATTCCCACCACCACTTGCCCCTCGGCCTCAGCATCCCAGTCCCCTCTCGTCCCCTACCCCTCTGGCCCCTTACACCCTCATGGCCAATACAGGGACTGTCTGCTCCGTGAAGCCCTCCCCACTTCTCCTCCAGGCCCCGTATCCCAGGCTCAAGCTCATCACAATAAGAGGCCGCCTTCTCAACAGCACACACCTTTTCTCCCCATCCAGGGCAGAGGCTGTGACTGAACAACATCAAAGTTTAGTGGCAATTTTATGTGAGAAGGTCCTCACACACTGAATGGATGGAGACACAGGAATGGATGAATGATTCATTCACCTCCATTCATAAATTCAATAGATCGTTCACGACTACTGTCTCAAGGCAGGGCACTCTGCTAGGTGCCAGAGGGAATGGGCAATATTGATTGGCTGCCTGACGGACTGTCCTGAGGAGCCTCCTGCGTACTCTGTGTTAGAGCTTAGACTCAGGAGCCAGACTGCCTAGGTTCTAACCCCAGCTCTGCCACCAGCTGAGTGACCAGAGGTAAGTTACTTCACCTCTGTGTGCCTGTTTTCTGTAAAATGGGGGATAATAATAGTACCTACCACACAGGGTTGTTTGAAGGATTCTTTGAGTTATATAGGTATTTAGGACAGCACGAAGTGTTAGCTATGAATACTATTTTTGTTTTTATTGGCATTTGTCTCTCTTTCGGATCTCCCAGTACAGTTGGCCCTGATCCTGGTTTACCCTTCAGAATCCAGCTGCCCTCACCTCAAAACCATGGTAATTAGGACCTAGAAAATATGCTTTGACCATGTGACTCTTCTATAAGGCTCCCCAAACCCCTCCTGGAAAGTCAGTGCTGTGGGTGGGGCAGAGGCTGGAGCCCTGTGTCCCTCCTCCTCAGCCTCAGGTCACACCTGGATCTCCAGCTGCTGCACCACCTGCATCTGCACCCGGCACTGGGCCGTGCTCCGGTCATCCAGGGCATGCTCTGTGTTGAGGTGTCTTCAGGAGGAGGAGAGGGTGGAGAAGAGATAGTTGGCCCTGTGTTTCCTGCTGTCACCACCCTCCCATCCCGTCCTCTAAGCCCGCCCACGGCCTGGAAAGCAGACAGACCAAGAGATACAAAGAAGGGAAAGGGGTGGGGAAAAAAACAGGGCAAAGGAGGAAGCCGCCTTCTCGTCACCCTCCTTTGATGTCTTTGCTAAAATCCCAGCTACAGAGAGATCTAATTGCAAATGAACTAATTAAGTAAACCTCTGACGAAGCGTGAAAACAATTTGTTTGACCCTGATGCTGCAAGGGTCTGGGAGACAGCGGAGTTAATCAGTCAGTGACAGAGCCTGGCACGGCTGTGGCAGCTGGCCGCCTGCTGCCAGCCGCCTGTCCGCCTCCCGCCCTGCATGTCTACCGGCCAGGCCTGTCACCAGGCCATCACTCTTGGGGGCTGAGTCTTGGGGGAGGGCAGTGGAAGGGAGTCCTCTCCTCCTCACGCCCCTACCTCGATGGGCTATGCGGCCTGAGAATGGGGTAGGGAGGCTGCAGGCCCAGCAATATAGGCTCGGCAGGTGGGCAGTAGTGATGGGGAACTGATGGGGCAGAGAAGGAACTAGGTCCCTTCAGGGGAGGACAATAAGACAGCTGGTGGCTGAAGGCCAAAGAAGGGGCGGGCTGGGGTGAAGGGCCCTGTGGAAAGGTTGCTGAATGGGGGGAAGGCTGAGAGCAAAGGAAAGTGGGGGTGACACCTACTTGATAAACTGGCCCAGGTCTTCACACAGGGTCTCACAGCCAGGCCACTTGCACTCTCCGTGTCCATAGAGGGGGTGGGAGCCAGGCGTCTCCTCGTGGGAGGAGCTGGGAGAAGCGGGGGAGGTGGTGGTCAGGGGCCCTGAAGACCCCAGCAGCCCTGGATCCGGCCCAGCCCCAGCTCTCCTGCTGGTGATCTTTCTATCCCTAACAGGTTTCCCAGAGGCCTAGCATATTTTTGTGTGCCCTGGGAGAGGGGTAAATTCCAGATCCCTAAACTCCACCCCTCCCTCCCAGCCTCCGCCATGTGTGCCATCCCTAGGAGCCCAGGTGTGCCCTTGAGAAGGTCTGCAGTGCCTCCTCCCAGCTTGGGCCCCGTACCTGTCTCTCCGAGGTGTGAGCACAGTGGGCTGTCCATTGGGCAAGGTGTGGTGGGAGAGCGGGGGCGAGACTTTGGGGGGGGCGGCAAACGAGGTAGCGGTGGTGGCCGTGCCAGTGAGGTCCAGCCCCTCCTGCTTGACGCTGTCCTCGGGGGGCTGCCCGGGGGCACCCTCACCCTTCCATAGCTGGGGCAGGTCCGTGGGGCACACGGCTGCTGTGGGAGAGAGAGAGAGGCGGGAGGCTGGCCGGGCCTCAGGAACACAGGGGCTTCTCCACCTTACCCCTGGGCAGGGGCTGCCAGCCCTTGGGTAGAGCAAGGGCTGCGGGGCTGGGCTTGGGGTTTGGGGGTGAGTCACTCACCTTGTGGGAGGGCCTGGAGGGGCCCCGAGGCTTGGTTGGGCTGCAGGCTGACCAGCCCCTGTCTCTGCAGGTTGAGCAGGTGCTGCTGCTGCAGCTGTTGCATTTGCAGGAGCTGCTGCTGGAAGGCCAGCTGCTTGTTCCCCAGTGCCTGGTGGGGGGCCCGAGGGGGCGGGCAGAGAGGGGTGCCATCAGGCTCAGGTGTGCCATCTGGCCCCCACCCTGCGGCTACCCCTTCCCAGGGCCTCTCAGCCCCCGGAGCTGTCGGTGCAGTGTCCGAAGCTGCAGCTTCTCTGCTCCCGGCCCAGCTTCCATAGGGCTGCATGCCTCCTCGCAGTAAACACACGCATGCACGCACGCACGCGCGCAAACACACAGCCAGACCCAGACGCGCAGCACTATGCCTCCCTGCTCCCGCCTCCCTCCTTCCGCTGCTTAGCGGCAGGCTCCAGCTCCCCGCGCCGCAGCTGTGCATGCCTGGGGAAGGGGGGCTCTCATCACAATGATCAATGAGCCTGTCAGAATCCGGGGGCCACTCCCGCCTGGCAGGCACCCTTCCCACATGCCAGGGGTGCCCCCCTTCTGCTCTGAGGCGGGGGCCTTCTTCCCTCCAGCTCATCTCCTCTCTTGCTTCTTAGATACAGAGAATCAAGGAGTCTGACGGGACTTTAAAAGATCAGCATCAGTGGGTCAGCAGGACCCAGTCAATGACAGTCATCCCTCTCGGTGGGGGAGGGGGGGCTCTCGCACTCACACTTGTTCACTAGCTAGCTCTGAGTCGCACACAGGCAAGTGTTCTCTTGATCTCTTGGTCTGTGCCCACCCCCCTGCCCCCCAAAGTCAGTTCTTCACAGGCACTGACAAGTAGGCCTGTCAGCAAGTCTTTTCTGAGTCCCAGGAGCCAAGCCTGTCCTGGGTGCTTAGGAGGCAGGGATGTCTCTACCTGCCCATCTGCCCTGGGGGTCTGGTGCGGTAGGGGCTGGCTAGTCAATAAAACCAGCCTAGAAATAACGCAGAGAATGAAGCGATTCCCAGATCCTTGAGGGAGAGGTTGAGGAGTTGGGGAATGACTGGGCGTCAGCAGGGCATCCTTCTGGGAAGGGGCAACTCAGAGCTCAGCTGTGGTCTGACTAGCGGGAGGGAGTCACATGTTTGGGACAAGTGGGGGGAGGGCGGCAGGGCCCGGTATGGAAGCTGGATGGGGCAGGTGGTACAGGCTGGAGAGAGCAGGGCTGATTGACAAGAAGCGATGGAAGGTGGGGCAGCGCTGGGGGAGGAGGCAAGTGGTGTGCTGGAAAACCAAAACATCCCCTAGACCTGAGTGGAGGACCGAGGTCTGGGTCACTAAGAGACAAGTGGGTAGGAAGAGGGCATGACGGCAGGTCAGCTGGTCATGAGTGTGGACCATCTGATACTCATACACCTGTCTACACATACGGGCACAGAGACAACACAGGGCTCTGTCTTCCCGCTCTCGTTAATCCAACACAAGGTAAGGAGAGAAAGTCTGAATGGGGATGAGGGGAGATGGAAAATTGTGAGCTCCCATCCCTACTTCTCCCATGTTCTCTGATCCCCTCCTCTAGCCTTTCCCTGACTGTTCCACCTTGGAACTCCCAGCCTCTGACTGGGAGAGGGCTGCAGGTGACGGGGTAGGTCTGCCTGAGCCCCTTACCTCTTTGGGTTGCTGCTTCCCAGCCTGCTGTTGAGTGAGGAGCTGCAAGTGGAGCTGCTCTTGCTGCTTCTTGTAATATTCCTGCAGCTGGGGGGAGGGGTGGGGGGTGGGAGGCCGGGGTGGGTGTGGGTTACCTGGGGTGGCAGATTGCTGACCCCAGAGCAACCCCAACCCTATGGTAACTGGTCTCTTGGAGGCAGGAGTGGGGAGTCTTACTGGGGCAGTGGGACGGATGGCCCCACAGGGAGATGTCTGTTCAGTACACCTTGCCCTTCCCTGGGGTTCTGGAGTAGAGGTGGGGCCAACACCACGGAGGGAGTGTGGAGGGGCTGCTGTGGGAGAGGCCTGATCTCTGACCTCCCCCAGCTGCCCTGGAGGACTGGCCTGAGCAGTCTCTCTGGTTTCTACCACTCAGTGATGTTAGTAGTAAACAGGATGGGAGGGAGGAGGCGCAGTGCCTACCGACCCCCCAGTCCCCCCTATTTCCCAGCTGCCCTGGGGCCAGACTCACCTGCTGGAGCATGAGTGCTTGTTGCTGCTGGAGCAAGGCCTGCAGCTGTGGGGGTGACAGAATCTGTTGCATCTGTTGCGGGGTAAGCATCTGCGGCGACATCATGGCCACTGACACAGGAACCTGTGGGATGTGGCCCTGTTAGCCTGCTCACCTCAACTCCACCCCATGAAGGGCATGCACCCAAAGCCCCAATCACATTATAGCTTATTGGGACTCCAGAAACTGCCTGAGTTCAAATTCTGTTTCTGCCACCAACTGAATGTCTTTGGATAAGTGACTTACCTCCCTGTTCTCTGCTTTCTTTTCTCCAAAATGGAAGCAGCAATAGTGCCTGACTTTTAACGTTTTCACGAGGACTAGTGAGTTAACACTGAGAACAGAGCCTGGCATACAGCAAGTGGTCATAAGGGCTGCCTATTATTTGAGATGTGCTGTCTTAGGTACCGGAAGATTAGACTATAGTGACACTGGTCAGTAGAACCCATGCTCTGGTGGGGTCTCCCCCAGTGATGGGAAGACAGCAGCTAGCCATTCTTAACTCTTGCTCTGTCTCTTCTGAGACACGATGAGGTGGGCCCGGCCATGAGGACAGCCTACAGCCCTGGGGAGAATTCAAAAAGTGGCCCACGTGGCAGGAGGCCCTGTACTTTGGCCCTACTTAGATACATGTCACATCCTCCAGCACAGCTGTCCAGATGGCATACACAGAGGCCCAGAGAGCACTGAGGGTGCCATCCTTGGTGTATATGTGTATAAGTCTTCAGCAGGGTGGAAAGAACTGCAGGGAGTTAAGAAGCAGGCTTCTGCTCCTAGCTCTGCAATGAACTTTCTGTGTGACCCCTGGCAAGTCACTTGCCCTCTCTGGAGTATCAGTTTCCTCAAACAACAAACAGGGATTGGATTTTAAGAGGTGACTCCTTCCAGCTAGAGCAGCTTTTTGTCCCCCGCCCTGGGTTAGGCCTCTACAGGAGGCTCAGAGAATCTAGCTACAGGGAAAAGGTGCATGGAAGAGCAGTAACATCATCCTCTTCCCAGCCCTATCTCCCCTGTAACCCCCAGGCTTGTGCGGTCATAGCCAGGGAAGCCCAAGTTGCAACACTGCCTTATCCCTATTTTAGTAGGACAGGGGCTATCCGCCGCCCCCACCACAAGGGTGCACAAGACTCTAATCTTCTCACTCCCAGGCCCTAGCAGAGTGTCCGGCACACAGCAGGTACTCGCTATGTTTATTCCCCTGAGCTCAAATACCTTTCCCAGCAGATTGGAGGCCCCTCTGCCAGCTCTGGGGTGTGAAAGGAGGGGTGCAGGGAGGTCCAATCAGAGAAAGTGTCCTGCAGGGACTTGTCTTGAGCAGGATGTGACAGGTTAGGTCCCCAGGGAACTCATGGCCCCTGTCACCTTCCCTCAGCCCCATGGGTAGGGCAGAGGAGGAGGAGTTGGTTCCTTCTAGGATCCTAGCAGTGGCAGGACTCAGCCTCAAGCCGCCAATTAGGGAATCCCCAGGCAGAGGAGCAGCTGGGGAGGTGTAGTGAAATGAATCCAGGGATATGGGAAGTCCCATTGCCTCCATCTCTTCTCGCCCAGCTAGAGACTGAGCCCAGCCCTGGGCTTTCCCCTTTTCCCCCAGCCATCTCTGTGCACACATCTCTGGGAGGGGCACCGCCTGGCTCTTTAGCCATGGCCATCTGAGGGAAGGACGGCTCCCAGGGGCCTCTATCAAAGAGCCTCAAGTGGCAGGATTGGGACTTAAGCCCAGGTCTGTGTACAACACAGTTCCCGGTGCTTCCATGTCCCACACTGCCTGCCCCACCCTGGAGCAGGTCTTAAGAAAGGTTATGGAGTATGTGTGGAAACCGAACCATCCAGGAAACCGAAGAGTTGATGAGGCTGGAAATCCCAAAGGCCAACCTCCCTCTTTACACTGTATCAGAGGAGACTCTGGAAAGCCAGGTGTATTCTGGTCCTCACTCTTTGAAGGGCTAGGGGAGGGGGCAGACAGTGGCACAGACCCACCACCCTTGCAGAGAAAACCTCTGTGTCCTTTGTCAGGTAACTCCCGAGGCAGCTGGGCCAGTCACTGCCTTTTCTTTCCTCCTCCCATGAGGGTGCCCAGCATGGTGGTACTGAGCTCAGAGACCTGGATTTCTGAGTCAGGTGACCTAGGTTCTTGTCCTTGACACTGACTATTCTTTGAAATCACCAAGCCTCACTTTCTCCATCTGCTAACTGGGGTATGGAACACCTGTAAGCTCAGCCTCACGTAACCACACAAAAAGCTGTGGTGGACTGTGGATTATTCGCCAGGCACTTGGCTAAGCCCTTAATGAGTATGATCTCCCTGAAGCTTCGCAGCAACCCTGGGAGGAGGGTAGCATCACCGTTACCATTTTGCAGATGAAATAACCGAAGCCTAAAGAAGTTAAACCATCTTCCCTACCATCAAAGGGACAAGGGGAGAAGAGGTAAGTGAAAGTGATTTGTACGCCATTAAATTCTATACAAATGTAAAGAAAACTACTTTTTAAAACATTCTCAATTTTCCTTTTCCCGTCTTTCCTCTTCTCCTCCTTTCCCTCTCCCTTCTTCATCATTGCACCTCAGGTACACTCCAGGGGCCCCAGAGGGCACTGGGTGGCAAAGGTCACTGAAGACAAAAGCACTGGGCCTCCCACTCTCATCACAGCCAGAGCTGCCCCAGAGATGGACTCAGCCCAGAGCAGGTGAGACTGACACCAGACACCAGACACCCAGATCTTTCCAGGCACCAGTGAGTCACTGTGAGTGGCATGCAAGAAAGGATGTGGCATTTCCTTCCTTGGGGCTTTCCTACTTGGAGCCAGGGGAATGGAAGAGATGACCTTGGAAGGCCTCTTTGGACCCTACTGTTCCTGCCAAATGGCCTAACAACTGGCTGGAGAGGCGGCTGCAGAGATGGGTCTGGATGGACTACCTTGAGTATACTTGTCTCTAAGGTGGCCCAATGGGGTCAAGATAGGTCAGGAAGGTGGCTGCCACATGCTGATCTCCTAAGTTGGCTGACCCATCCACCTCTCCCCCGCACCCCGATACCCCTTGAGGTTCTGAACACTATGAGTTAGAGCTCCCTTGATGTCCTACTGACCCTTACCAGGCCAGGATGTGTCAGGATGGGCACTGTGAGCTAGTCAGCTCAGCAATGGCCGTGAGTCACCATCTGGAGAGTGGCCAGGGTCACTACGTGCTTACTAAAGTCCTGGCAATGTGAGCTCTGGGCTAAATGCTGACAGCTGCCTCCAGCCCCC